TATTTTTCCATATGCTTTGCTTTGCTTTGCTTTTAGCAACACTGAATTCCATTTGCCCTCGTGTTGCCCAGTCACCCAGTTTTGTGAGATCCCTTTGTCACTCTTTGCAGTCAGCTGTGGACTTAACTACTCTGAGTAATTGTGTAGTTTCTTCCAATTTTCCCACCTCACTATTTATCCCTTTTACAAGGACATTTGTAAGTTTAACAGCACTGGTCCAAATGCAGATCCCAGCAACACAACACTCTTGGCTACTCTCCCCCTCCCCCGCTATCTTGTAAGTACCTGGCAATGTTTTCATTATGATCTAACGAGCCTTCAATTACTGGAATGCCCAGCCTTTTGTTATTCTTAATCAGCCGCCACCCTCTTTTTATAACAGACTCCCTGCCCCAAAAGCAAAGCTGCAAGCAGCTCAAACTCTGTTGCATTTAAGACCTGCCTCTGGAGCTAGGCATTCAGTTTTAGCAGAGCTCAAGTATGAAATCTAGGGGTTCCCCCAGCCCCCCTCCATGGCACCCTTGCATTGCATATGTTTACCTGCACATGACTTTGCATATATAAGGTCGAAGCAGGTAAACATAGAGACACAAGTGAGTTCCGGTGTTAAGTTTCAAAAAGTACTTGATGTTACAAGTGGGATTCACATGGACAAGTCACAAACCAAAGTCTTAGTCTCATTCCTAGTTTCTCAGGGTTCAGCTGAGACAAGCCTGCCGTTCTGGGACCCATAACTCATGGGTGCCGGGCTGGGCTCTGAAGCCCTGGATGCTGGGGTGCAGTGGGTCTCTTAGCCCACAGGGGCCATGTCATGGTGAGGCCCAAAGAGCTGTGCTGTGCTGAGCACATAGCCTAGGGGCTGCGTGACGCTGGAGTCCATATTTCTTACAGCGTGGCTTGTTGGTCTAGGGGTTTGAGTCTGGCTTAGGGTGCTAGAGGTCCTGCTTCGTCTCTTTTTTATTCTCCCTTCTTTTTTATGGGTACGAATGGTGTCCGCAGCCCTGTGTTTGTCAGAGGCTGAGAATGGGTGATGGGGAGGGACCACTTGATGGGTCCCTGGTGTGTTCACTCCCTGTGGGGCACCTGGCGTTGGCCACTGTTCAGACAGGACGCTGGGCTAGATGGACCTTTGGTCTGACCCAGTCTGGTTGTTCATATGGGAGCTGTGCCACACTGAGGCCCATAGGCTAGGGGGCCATGCCAGGGTGGGGCCCCAGGGGCCGTGCCACACTGGGGCCCGTAGGCTAGGGGGCCATGCCAGGGTGGGGCCCCAGGGGCCGTGCCACACTGGGGCCCGTAGGCTAGGGGGCCATGCCAGGGTGGGGCCCCAGGGGCCGTGCCACACTGGGGCCCGTAGGCTAGGGGGCCATGCCAGGGTGGGGCCCCAGGGGCCGTGCCACACTGGGGCCCGTAGGCTAGGGGGCCATGCCAGGGTGGGGCCCCAGGGGCCGTGCCACACTGGGGCCCGTAGGCTAGGGGGCCATGCCAGGGTGGGGCCCCAGGGGCCGTGCCACACTGGGGCCCGTAGGCTAGGGGGCCATGCCAGGGTGGGGCCCCAGGGGCCGTGCCACACTGGGGCCCGTAGGCTAGGGGGCCATGCCAGGGTGGGGCCCCAGGGGCCGTGCCACACTGGGGCCCGTAGGCTAGGGGGCCATGCCAGGGTGGGGCCCCAGGGGCCGTGCCACACTGGGGCCCGTAGGCTAGGGGGCCATGCCAGGGTGGGGCCCCAGGGGCCGTGCCACACTGGGGCCCGTAGGCTAGGGGGCCATGCCAGGGTGGGGCCCCAGGGGCCGTGCCACACTGGGGCCCGTAGGCTAGGGGGCCATGCCAGGGTGGGGCCCCAGGGGCCGTGCCACACTGGGGCCCGTAGGCTAGGGGGCCATGCCAGGGTGGGGCCCCAGGGGCCGTGCCACACTGGGGCCCGTAGGCTAGGGGGCCATGCCAGGGTGGGGCCCCAGGGGCCGTGCCACACTGGGGCCCGTAGGCTAGGGGGCCATGCCAGGGTGGGGCCCCAGGGGCCGTGCCACACTGGGGCCCGTAGGCTAGGGGGCCATGCCAGGGTGGGGCCCCAGGGGCCGTGCCACACTGGGGCCCGTAGGCTAGGGGGCCATGCCAGGGTGGGGCCCCAGGGGCCGTGCCACACTGGGGCCCGTAGGCTAGGGGGCCATGCCAGGGTGGGGCCCCAGGGGCCGTGCCACACTGGGGCCCGTAGGCTAGGGGGCCATGCCAGGGTGGGGCCCCAGGGGCCGTGTCACGCTGGGGCCCATAGGCTAGGGGGCCATGCCAGGGTGGGGCCCCAGGGGCCGTGCCACACTGGGGCCCGTAGGCTAGGGGGCCATGCCAGGGTGGGGCCCCAGGGGCCGTGCCACACTGGGGCCCGTAGGCTAGGGGGCCATGCCAGGGTGGGGCCCCAGGGGCCGTGCCACACTGGGGCCCGTAGGCTAGGGGGCCATGCCAGGGTGGGGCCCCAGGGGCCGTGCCACACTGGGGCCCGTAGGCTAGGGGGCCATGCCAGGGTGGGGCCCCAGGGGCCGTGTCACGCTGGGGCCCATAGGCTAGGGGGCCATGCCAGGGTGGGGCCCCAGGGGCCGTGCCACACTGGGGCCCGTAGGCTAGGGGGCCATGCCAGGGTGGGGCCCCAGGGGCCGTGCCACACTGGGGCCCGTAGGCTAGGGGGCCATGCCAGGGTGGGGCCCCAGGGGCCGTGCCACACTGGGGCCCGTAGGCTAGGGGGCCATGCCAGGGTGGGGCCCCAGGGGCCGTGCCACACTGGGGCCCGTAGGCTAGGGGGCCATGCCAGGGTGGGGCCCCAGGGGCCGTGTCACGCTGGGGCCCATAGGCTAGGGGGCCATGCCAGGGTGGGGCCCCAGGGGCCGTGCCACACTGGGGCCCGTAGGCTAGGGGGCCATGCCAGGGTGGGGCCCCAGGGGCCGTGCCACACTGGGGCCCGTAGGCTAGGGGGCCATGCCAGGGTGGGGCCCCAGGGGCCGTGCCACACTGGGGCCCGTAGGCTAGGGGGCCATGCCAGGGTGGGGCCCCAGGGGCCGTGCCACACTGGGGCCCGTAGGCTAGGGGGCCATGCCAGGGTGGGGCCCCAGGGGCCGTGTCACGCTGGGGCCCATAGGCTAGGGGGCCATGCCAGGGTGGGGCCCCAGGGGCCGTGCCACACTGGGGCCCGTAGGCTAGGGGGCCATGCCAGGGTGGGGCCCCAGGGGCCGTGCCACACTGGGGCCCGTAGGCTAGGGGGCCATGCCAGGGTGGGGCCCCAGGGGCCGTGCCACACTGGGGCCCGTAGGCTAGGGGGCCATGCCAGGGTGGGGCCCCAGGGGCCGTGCCACACTGGGGCCCGTAGGCTAGGGGGCCATGCCAGGGTGGGGCCCCAGGGGCCGTGTCACGCTGGGGCCCATAGGCTAGGGGGCCATGCCAGGGTGGGGCCCCAGGGGCCGTGCCACACTGGGGCCCGTAGGCTAGGGGGCCATGCCAGGGTGGGGCCCCAGGGGCCGTGCCACACTGGGGCCCGTAGGCTAGGGGGCCATGCCAGGGTGGGGCCCCAGGGGCCGTGCCACACTGGGGCCCGTAGGCTAGGGGGCCATGCCAGGGTGGGGCCCCAGGGGCCGTGCCACACTGGGGCCCGTAGGCTAGGGGGCCATGCCAGGGTGGGGCCCCAGGGGCCGTGTCACGCTGGGGCCCATAGGCTAGGGGGCCATGCCAGGGTGGGGCCCCAGGGGCCGTGCCACACTGGGGCCCGTAGGCTAGGGGGCCATGCCAGGGTGGGGCCCCAGGGGCCGTGCCACACTGGGGCCCGTAGGCTAGGGGGCCATGCCAGGGTGGGGCCCCAGGGGCCGTGCCACACTGGGGCCCGTAGGCTAGGGGGCCATGCCAGGGTGGGGCCCCAGGGGCCGTGCCACACTGGGGCCCGTAGGCTAGGGGGCCATGCCAGGGTGGGGCCCCAGGGGCCGTGTCACGCTGGGGCCCATAGGCTAGGGGGCCATGCCAGGGTGGGGCCCCAGGGGCCGTGCCACACTGGGGCCCGTAGGCTAGGGGGCCATGCCAGGGTGGGGCCCCAGGGGCCGTGCCACACTGGGGCCCGTAGGCTAGGGGGCCATGCCAGGGTGGGGCCCCAGGGGCCGTGCCACACTGGGGCCCGTAGGCTAGGGGGCCATGCCAGGGTGGGGCCCCAGGGGCCGTGCCACACTGGGGCCCGTAGGCTAGGGGGCCATGCCAGGGTGGGGCCCCAGGGGCCGTGTCACGCTGGGGCCCATAGGCTAGGGGGCCATGCCAGGGTGGGGCCCCAGGGGCCGTGCCACACTGGGGCCCGTAGGCTAGGGGGCCATGCCAGGGTGGGGCCCCAGGGGCCGTGCCACACTGGGGCCCGTAGGCTAGGGGGCCATGCCAGGGTGGGGCCCCAGGGGCCGTGCCACACTGGGGCCCGTAGGCTAGGGGGCCATGCCAGGGTGGGGCCCCAGGGGCCGTGCCACACTGGGGCCCGTAGGCTAGGGGGCCATGCCAGGGTGGGGCTTTCTGGCCTGGTGGTGGGAGCAGGCCCCAGTGGTTGGCTGGCCAGGGATTGCGCTCCTCGGGCTGGACCAGTAGCCAGACCAGTGGGGGAGCTGGCTCAGGCTAGCAGGAGCCCCCGTGGTGGCCAGCAAAGCCCCTTGCATTGTTGCAGGCGGGGGCCCTGGGGTATGTGGGGTCTCTCTGGGCCTGGCCATTCTGTGGGGACCGGCAGGGCCACGTCATTCCCCCTTGTGATCCTGCTTCCTGGGATGTGCAGCTCAGAGATTCCGTTGGCTCTTGGGTTATGCCTGACTTCCTGTCCCAAACCGGGGCTGTCAAGCAGCTGCCATGTCCCTCCCCAGAAGCGGCTGCATGTCTGCGGTGGGCACGCAGGCTCTCGAACACGCCCCTCACCGTTGTCCCCCAGGCAGAGGGCAAAGTGAAGGGGCCGTGCTGGCGCTCTGGCGCCCGGCTCTCACCCGGCTCTCCCCCGCCCCATACAGCTCAGATGCGCACGCTGAAGGACGAGTTCAGCACCCTGCAGGAGTCGAAGGAGTCGGAGCTGGAGCAGGTGGAGCGGGAGCTGCGGGAGGCCAGGGAGACACGCCCCTCACCGTTGTCCCCCAGGCAGAGGGCAAAGTGAAGGGGCCGTGCTGGCGCTCTGGCGCCCGGCTCTCACCCGGCTCTCCCCCGCCCCATACAGCTCAGATGCGCACGCTGAAGGACGAGTTCAGCACCCTGCAGGAGTCGAAGGAGTCGGAGCTGGAGCAGGTGGAGCGGGAGCTGCGGGAGGCCAGGGAGGAGATGCCTCCCTGCAGGAGCAGCTGTGCCGGCTGCAGGCCGAGCTGCAGCGCATCCAGCAGGTGCGCAACGAGTACGAGACGGAGATCACCACGCTGCGCGCCGAGATCAAGATGAAGGACGGCAGCCGGGCTGAGGGCCACTCTGACGAGGTGGCCAAGCTCCAAGGTACCGTGGCAGGGAGCCCCGCTCAGCTGTGGGGAATGGGGTGGGGGCTCAGCAGGGGCACTCACCCCTCTCTGTCAGTACCGGCCCTGATGCTGCCAGCATGGCACTAGGGGGCTCTGTGCAGG